AATCTAATTTTTTATTAAAACTGTAAACAAGCAGTAAAACGTTAAACATAAAGCAGACCAATGATGACACGAACAAATTGAAATATTTAACTGAATCATAATAAAATTAACTTTCCTTTCAACGAAATATTGAAATCAACTTTTTTTTGTTTTATAATCTGAACCGTCAGAGACCTAACGGGTCACGGGTAGTCTAGTAACATTTTAAAAGATTAATTACCTGCACTCGGTGTAGTTCTGTCCTTTACTTAAATAACCTTGTCAGATTTAAACTCTAATAGAGATGTTATACATGGCGTTCAAATTGTTCAGATATATCTAAATTATGAACTATGCCCCAACGTTTTCTCAGATAAATAATTGAAAATGGCCTCAAGTTAACGAATCCTCGAGGTCTTAAAGTAGACAAGCGTAGAGACAAAACATTTTGCTAAATAACAAAAACAAATTTACTAGGCGACTTCCAATAACATCAACAACGAAAATTGATTACACATGTAACTAAAAGAGAAAATAATGCTACAGTATTAATATTGACTTTCCACATTTCTTTAAAGAAAATATTAGGACAGAAACATTCGTCAACACTAAAAGGGGTTTAACATTAAAGAACCATCATATCCTGTGCGACGTGTAGTTTTCTCCAACCCTCTTAGACGCTAGAAATCAAATTTAAATGACATTGTCATATCTAAATTTTAATATAGAGGTTATGTATAGTGTCCAAATTGTTTAGAAATATCTCAACTATGATCTATATACAAACGTTTCCTGGTTTGGTTTGGTTTGGTTTGTGTTGTGGCATATTAACCTAAATGGTTTATTTAATACCGACAAGATTTTTATTGCTGGTAATTTTTTTTCCAAAAACTTATCATTGGTAATACTTTTTCTAAAATGTATTGCTGGTAATATTTGTTTTCAAAAAAGTACTTTTGGTAATAATATTTTCTTCAAAAATGTGTTGCTGTTATTAAAACCTTTTTTTATACTTTCATTGTGTTTTGTTTCCTTTTAGTGGGGGTTGAACTATTTGCCCATAGCTGGGACCCTAACAGGTTCTACCACCACGGGTCAGAGTAAAACTGGGAACACCGGCAATTAAGAGGTGCTTCAACTCTCCTCAAAACCTCTTGACCAGAGGCCGTGCTGTTGGATGTTGTTTATCATCTTACCCAGGACGCGGATGTAGTATATCGTCTTACCCAGGACAACCCCAGTTTAGGGGTTAACTATTTGCCCATAGCTGGGATCCTAGCAGGTTCTACCACCACGGGTCAGAGTAGACCTGAGAAGACCGGCAATTAAGAGGTGGTTCAACGCTCCTCAAAACCTCTTGATCAAAGGCCGTGCTGTTGGATTTCGTTTATCATCTTACCCAGGACGCGGATGTAATATATCGTCTTACCCAGGACAACCCCAGTTTGGGGGTTAACTATTTGCCCATAGCTGGGACCCAAACAGGTGCTACCACTCCGGGTCAGGGTGGAACTGGGAACACTAGCAATCAAGAGGTGGTTCCACGCTCCTCAAAGCCTCCTGATCAGAGACCTTGCTCTTGGATGTAGTTTATGGTCTTACCCAGGACGCAGATATAGTTTATCGTCATGCCCAGGATGGACATTTCCTGGGGAAAATAATTAAAAATTGTTTTAAGCGATAGAATCCTTGAGGTTTTAAGGAAGACAACCTTTCATCAGATTTTAGAGGCTGGCGTTAAAGAAGTAGAAGAGAAGCCCATTACTAAATAACAAAAATAAAACATCACTAGGAGTCTTCTAGTAGCAGTAACAACTAAATTTGTTTGCACATGTAACTAGAAAAGAAAGAAAATGATATAATGAAAATTTTGTCTTTCCACACGAACTCAAACAAAAGGTTAGGAAAGAAACACTCATCGGTACTAGAAAAAGGGATAGCATTGGACTCGCGAGGCATATTTTCCTGGGAAACCGTTGTTACTGAAAGCTATGATAAATTTATACCGAGATTAAGTCTAACTCTTCGGCCACCGAACGCCGAATTTTTTCCTGTATGATCTGTTTGTTTTGTTTTGTTTTACGGTATATCAACCTCAATGGGTCATTTAATGCCGAGATTTTTTTTTTCCGGTAATATTTTTGTTTTGTTAGAAATCCATTTCTATCAATATCTCTTTCCTCAGAAATATATAGCTGGCGATAGTATTTTTTTTCCAAAAACGTATAGCTGTTTATAGTATTTTTGCAAAAACTTGTAGCTGGCATATTTTTTTCAAAAACGTATTGCTTGTAATATTTTTTTCCTTCAAAAATTTATTTCTGGTAATAATTTTTTATTTCTTCCTCTACAGTTCCATTGAAGTATCTTATGTGTATTTGTAATTAGTAGATTTTGGCAGCTGGGGCCATTCTCCTGTGGCAATACAACCAAAAACGACCACATGCCTCATACAACTCATCATCACTCTTTCCTGTATGAAGATTTATCTTCGGCCTCCTTATCACCGTTATCATTTGTCCTATTGTACTGGAGTATATCAAAAGTAATCCCATAACTTTGTCCATAGAGAATCGTTCAAGAGTTTCTGTATAATTTAAAGCTTCTTATAGAATTCTTTTCGCATGATTTATTTTTATGGTACTCACCATTTAAAACTTTTACGATCATATTCCCTTTTGTTTCATAGCCATAAATTGTTGGTCTAGGAGAAATAGGTAATTAATAAACTGAATCAGCAAATTTCAAATATTCCCCTATTTCAATAAATAAAAGTACTGAAAATGAAATTAAATTAGTAAAAAAAAAAAATAATCAAAAAGAAATAAAGACGATTGTTTAAAAAAAAATTGCACTATTTTTAAGTTAACCCATTTCGGTGATGCTAAACAAATTCCGGAAAATCAGCTGATTTAATCGAAAAATTAAAATTGATAACAGATAAGGAAAAACCTTAATTTACAGAAACTGAATCGCACAAACCGTTATGAAATACATGAATCAGGCCATGAGTACTTCGTTTTTTTTATATGCCATATTTTTCATGAAATAAGCGATCATCACTCCCCACGATTTCCCGTCTATTTACTCAAAGTGAATTTTAACACTGTACCTCTTTGTGCCTTTTCTACAAATGCAGAAAAGAAACTAAGGATTTTGCTCACTACTTCACCTGATACTCTTGCCATCACTACGTCTTGTGTGTATTAAATTCTCTAAGCAATCTTCTCTTCATTATGTGTCCGAGAAATTTCACTTGTGTCTTTCTTTTTACCGGTACATGTAGATGACGGCTAAAAACTAACGTATTTGGGCGTAATTGAACAGTACTGAGTTTTCGATTGCTTGTGGAACGGTTGTACCTTGAGTTCTAAAGCTAATAACCGGATACTTTCTTTCTTTTTTAGTGCCATGTCCTTTCTTGACGTAGGCGATCATGGATCTCTAACCCTTTCAGCTCTCAACAAGTTATTTTCCTCTGTTACCTCTCCCAGACCACGTTCTGTCAACCACTTGCTTCAGCCGGCTAAGTATGTCATGCGTTGTATTCCCTTGTCTCTCGTTCCCTCTATTCGACCCGTGAGTATCAGATTCTCCAGGCCCTCCTTTCTCATTATGTGTCCCAAAAACTTCAGTTACAACTTTCTGATGTTAAGTATAATCTTCCTCCTTGTTTGCATCCTTTCTAAGATTTCATTTTTGCTCACATACTCGGTCCATGATATCCTTAGCATCCTTCTGTAGAACCACATCCCCGTCGCCTCGAGTCTCTTCTTCATCTCTGAGGAAATCGTCCAAAATTTTATGAAAAAAATTCGTCATCCATATGCATATTTAATTCATCACGCCCGGTCATTACCTGTGATGGACGTTACTCCAAGGAAGCGTACGAAAATTGTCAGGTTGCACGAACACATTGGCAAGCCTTACCAATGAGCAAATCAATACTATAGACGGGCCTGGAAACTCTCCTGATTTAAATCCAATCGAGAATCTGTGGTCAATCTAGCGGATCAGTCTGGCGCTGGAGGATTTACCGACGCTCTGGCAAGACCCTGAGAACTGGAGGGATAAGGTGGCCTTCAAGGTCCTAACGCCACCACGGCATGTGATTTAGCAGCAGAAAGGATTACAAGATTTACTAGGATAAATTCTTGGCACACGTAACCAACATACGATACATAGAGAACATTAGGTTAATGGTAGATTCATAAAGAACACGAAAGGAATTATCAGTGAATAGGAATAAAAATATCAAAAAGAAAATGCTGAGGGTTAATTGGAAGTTATGATTCGGTTACACATCGCGGGGTTATTAAATCCGACATGTTTAAAAATTTAATTTTCTTGATGATTGATACCAGTAGATCTTTTAATCGTCGCTCTAAAAGTTGAAATCGGTTATAAAAAATCTTGTGGTGTCGAATCTAGTTTAGTGTACACATAAACACGATTGCAGTTCGGAAACAAAATGTCTACACATAGAGACAGGATACCTGATGATAAAACTTCGACGGTTATATAGCCCAATAATAAAATATTGATAATACCTTATTTGAAACGATGG